GGGGGAGGGGTCAGGCAGGTATTAAATACAGAATGTGCCGACTGGCAGCAGGAAGCAAGAAGCTGTGCAGAAAACACACTGTGAAGGTGTTCCCTTGATGAGGTGCTCCTGCTGAAACATTTTGGAGTTCAGCCATCCAAGCATATTACAAAAGAGTAAAATCAAAAGGGATTGTCCTCTCTTCAGTCATTTTAGAGTCACTCCACTACTGACTGATAACTACCATGGGACATGCACATTCCTCATACCAGCATTTTCTTAGCTTATGCTCATCTTAGAAACAATACTCCTGCATACACACAATTATATATTTAAAAGTCAAAGGACTAGGTGGTCCAGCTGAACACATGTAATTAACCTTTGCTTAACTGCAAAACCCATAGGAAACCTCCTAACATTTGTGGTTCATTTATATGCTGCAACAGCTTTCTCAGTCTCTCCTGGGCCCAGATATCTAGCCCACAAATATGTGTGGCTAATAGGACACAGCAAATTTTTTCCAACCATTCTTTCATACTGTTAAACATTTTTAATAGTTTCCTTATTTTGCCCTGATGTGAGAAATAAAATTCCTAGATGCTACATGTAAGAGAAACCCATACTCCCTCCTCTTATTTGAGCCTCACAAGGACTGAGAGTTCATGGTGGCAGCTCACCACCAGTACCTATGGATCTTTTAGAAAGTTTTTGCTTTTAAAATATGTGTAAAATCTACAACTCTGACTCACAAAATGAAACAAACAAAAATAATTCAGCAACACCGAAACTGTTTGCTGCAAAGACCAGATCAAACCAGAGAGCCACCACACATCTGTAAGGCTCTGGTTCTCAGTTGGTATTGCTGACACTTCTTGAATAAGTGCTGGCCAACACATGGACTGGCACAACTGGGAATTTTGTGCAATTGCAATAGGTTTATATTAAATAATCAAGGCTCTGTGAATCTAACTTATTCTCCTGAAGAAAGTACTAGTAGTTGTACAATTACTAATGAGACTCAAACGTTACTTTTGTATATATAGCAAGAAGATAGAGCTGATGCATTAGACTTCTCCCACTGGGAACAGTACCAATTCGTGCATATTCAGACCTACATTTGATAAGACAACTTCTATGTTTGATAAGACAGTTTCTGTATTTAGACATCATGAAGCTTACCCAAAAAGAAGACACGTCCAGTGTCTTTTGGGAAATATTTCCTTGAATGAGTCTGAACAAGATATATGAAATGCAGCTTTGGAAGCTGGCAAAGAAAAAGTGCATAGAGCCCAAGCTGGTCGACAGGGAAATAGTTTAAAAGCAGGATGCTGTTGATTAGACCAACAAATGATGTTTTAACCTGGGTAAACAGACACCGCCTATTCTCTGAAAAAAAAAAAACAAAACCTGAGTAACATTGGTCAGGAATAGGAACAAAGGCTTCATTGTCCCCAGGGAAACATTGCCAGCTTCTGAATACCAGTTTGCTTTTCTGAATGATGTTTGAAAATTTGTTTTAGACTTGATTACCCTACCTGTCCTTGAAACATTTACCATATTTCAGCTATGATTTCAACAGATCCTACAGTGGAATATGTGAAACCTGCTGTTTTCAATGCTAAATGGTCAAATGCTGGTGAAGCACTCTCCTGTGCCAGAAAAAATTTCAGACCCTCGGGTGTGATTTTCAGTTGATTTAGGATTAATCCCTGCAGACTGCTCATCTGGATTACAAATCTAGGAAGAATATAGGCTCGTTTACAGCCACATCCTCCACTTGAGAAATAGTTGGAGACAGTACTCCCACATTTAGAGTAACTAGATTGAAAGAAACATGCATTTTAAAAAAATTAATTAGAGGCACATCTATTTGTTTTGATTTCTGCCAAATACTCACTTGGCCCTAAGTTAACATTTATGTTAAATCTTATGCTTGCCATCTCCAGGGGCAGGAAGCAGAAAGCCAGCACTTAACAGTACAGCATTTGAGTGATCCAGTTAAGAACTCATGTGGGACAGTGAAAGAAAAAAACCAACAAAAATCATAGTCCAAGGTTTTAAAGGTGCATGGTACTAATGCACATTAATTCCTAAGTCTTTTTTAGCATTTCTTTGACAGAGGAAGAAGAGTCAAAACCTTGGCTCCCTGAGACCATGCAGGAACCAGCTCTGCTGGGGAACACCTAAAGCACGGGGTGGAACTGGGAAGTAGTAGCACGAGAAGGCTGATATGGCTCTTTAGGTGACTGAAGCTATTGAAAAAGCTCCTTTCCTTGCAGTCACTTAGAATTTTATCCTAGGAGGGGAATGAGAAGGTGCCAAGGAGTTGCTGGAAGCCACATTAGAAAGTCCAAGAAGCAAAACAGCCTTTTTGACTTCAAGATGCCAAAGTGGTGGGTTCACAGACATCACAGTTTGGTGCTGTACAACTGAAGAACAGTACTGCACACTTACACACCTCCTCAACTAAAGCAAAGTTTACATGAAATAAGTAAGCTGCTCACATCAACTTTCGATGTAATAAACACCCCTGTGAAACAACCATCTCTATTCAGATGTGAATTTGAAACCTACTATTGCCATGTAGTCATCTTTCTAAGACTCTTCCCCTCTGTGCAAAAGTGAAAAATAAGATAGTGACTTCAGCAACACTTGGAAGATAGTTGGAAAGCATGTTTTCCTTTCCAGATAACATTGCCACAAATAATTCCCTCTTCCCAAGGAAAAGATTTTTCATGCTTCTTTAGCGCAACTGGCTGCTGGAATCCCCAGCCAGTCCACCTGTCCATCCTACCAAACCGAGAAGTATTTTAAGCACTAAGTGATAAAACCTGGTTCCAACTCTTGCTTTGGAAGCGATTTGCTTTAGGCTGACTTTAAAACCTGCTGTAAGTCAGTAAGTTTACTGCAGACACGTCTGTCTTGTGGGATCATACAAGGCCTTCAGCTCCCACTGGTACCATGTACTCCTCAAACAGCACTTGGCAGATCAAGTGGTGCAACCATTGACAGAAAAAGGAAGCTAAAAAGGGGAAAAGATGGGAATGTTTAAAAGAAAAATCACACCTCCAAAGTAGGGAACACCTAAGTTTTGGCAAAATAATTGACACTTTCTTATCCCCACAGGTGTGTAACACAGAACTGGATGATGCTTTGGTCAGTACAGTGCAGACTCCAGAACTTGAGGCTTCAACCTCCCTAAATAAAGGAAAGCATACAGAAGAACATCTTTGGGGGAGGAAGGAAAAAGAGGACTATACTTGTCCTGTAGTATTGCAACAAAGCAGGAGCATTATCCAGAATAGAACAGAGGGCTGAAGAAGTCTGAAAAGAAGCATTAAAAGGAGAGTGTGTGCGGCACAGCTCAAAACCACATTGGATCCCAATTCCAGTGTTAATAAAAAAAACACAGAATTAGCCTCCCTCCAACATTCTTTTTACTAACCAGTGACAAAAACATCTTTATAGTTTAATTTTATTGGCATTTTAAGAAGTCTTGAAGGACTATGTATTAGAAAGCTGAAAAAAACGAAGACCTCAGGCTACATTTCTGAATTAAATAGACACTTTTGCTTTAAAAATACCAAACATCACCCTAATCTAGAAGTGAGATCCGACAATCCTTCTGTTTTCCCAAGTCTGTCTTAAATGTATATATACATGTGTAACAATGAAAATGTTCACTGCAGAGCTCCGATTTTCTCACTTACTCCTCATGTAAGTCAGACAAATCTCCTCACCACCAAATTTCAGGAACCCACAGAAGGGCTTCATTGAGGTGAAACATTGTCAGAAAGGAGGAAATACTGCTAAACATTCAGGAGCAAGTGTTGGAATGAGCAATACCAAGGCTTATCTTTCCTGCAGCTTAGAACAAACTTAGCAGTTCCTGGGTGAAAAATGTTTGACTTACTTATTTAGTTGGCACTAGTGGACAGGGAAGAGCTCTAGGAAAACTCCCTTGAGCAAGGGAAGCTTTCTGTGGGCTGGCTACGAGAGCTTACATCATTTATGGACATTTCACTGTGCCTACAACTTCTGGTAAACAAATGGGTGAGTCTGTTATATAGTAATTTTTTTTAAAAAGTCCAAAAAGCAAGCAAAGCAAACCCACACTTATGAAACAGTTTTTCTCCAGTGTAGTAGATGTAGCTTTTGCTTTGGTCCAGCATTTTCACTGTCCTGCAATGTGCTGGATGCAGTCTGATCCTGACAATTTGTAAGTTACAGCAGCACCACCACATAAAAGCATAACCTTCGCCTGAAACTTGACAGGAGCTTTTATGGTCTGTTCAATTGGCTCTTGTTCCCTTAAATATCCCAGCTTTTGAGCTCAGTTAAACTGGGTATCACCCGTTTCCTGCACTTTCAAATGGAACAGTTAATTAATCCAGGTAATAGTATTAGCAGGGTCTATTACAGTACTTAAGGTAATGACACACAGCTGTACTGTGCTTCTGCCAACACCTCCAACAGCCAGAGCTCCAGATGTAAAGACACCTCCCAGCAGTCCATGTGCCAGCACTTCCACTGCTGAATGCTGTTCTGCACATTTAGGTTAGAAAGCACAACTTTTAAATTTTAACAGGTCTTTTTTTCAGAAAGAAGAGGTTCCCTGAAAGAATAAATCCTTTTTTTTTTAACAAGATGGTTAATTTTAGACAGTTTTGCTTTATTTCTGAGGTATCAGTTGTAGTCAGTTCACTAAGGAATCTGTAATAATATGGAGACACTGAAGAATCAGGACAATGCAGAAACAGCTGCCTGCTTATATGAATCTGGTACTAGCACTTAAACATTTCACACTTTAAAAATCTATTATCTTTGTTTTCTGGGTAGCTTACTGTTTTGTTAATAACATAAATATAGAATCATAGAATCATAACAAGTGAGAAAAGCTTTTTGAATTTCCTGTACCCACCCTACAGAAAAAGTAAGAATATTTTTATTAGACTAAACTGTGCTGCTATGCAACACCACTAGCATGCAGAAGGCGTAAATGAAGACAGACATGAACTGAGTATGAGATAACTTATTTTATTTATTCAATTCTCAACTTAATTTTGATGCTAAAAATTGGTCAAAGGCACTTCAAAGAAGGTATTTAAGAAACAAATCCTTATGGTGACCATTCCAGACAAATCACCAACTTTTATCTGTCATTAGGAACACAACTACCTATAATTGCAAAGTGAAACATTCACAGGTTTTAAGTGGAGCATACTGTCCAGCAGCAATATTCAATTCTTTTACACTATCAATAACATTTGTGGAGTATTTTAAATACAATATGGTAAAACAAAGCAAATTACACTTTTGGAGTTCCACAGAAGATTTCTTGACAGAAAAAGGACAAAAACTGCCTTTCCCAGTGGTCCTGTATTGAGGGCTCTATTTTATCTGTGTGTGCATTATCAGCATCAGTAATAGGTACAGCAGAGAAATAACCCACACTTTTCTGTCATACAAAGACAAAACACCCTGCTCAGATAACAAAGCATTTATAAGATGTCTATCTGCTACTCAAATACTGACATTTATATTTCTGCAAGCAGAACAGATCAAATGGTAATAGCTGAAGAAAAAGTGATTTTTAATATACATCCCTACCAAAGCAAAACAAAGTGTCCTTAAAGGCAAAAGTACTGTGAAAAGAGCTTCCACAAAATGATGGACAGCGTGTAACATCTTAAATAACACAAATACAGACTGCAAAAATTATTTGGGAGTGGAAGAAGATTAAAACTGGTATTTTTCTGCAAACAAAGATTAATTCTCTTCTCTGATTAAGACTAGTGATCAGAAAGTAACTTCTTGCCATTGTCAATCTTTCTGAAGTGAAGCCACATGAACAACTTTCTGAAGTGAAATCACATTTAACCACAAGTTTAAAATGTTACTCTGTCACACATGGGGATACTCCCACATCCACTGACTAGTAATTTCAAGAAAATAGTTCAAAATTTTTAGATGGGTAATTTAAATCACTATGGTGCCAATGAAAGCGTTTAGGTTTTCTAAAATTAAGAAACCTCTTTTAGAAACCAAACCACAGAGAAATAATCTACACAGCCTAAATAAGCCCATGCTGCCGTGCCTCAGGAAGTCTCTCCATCTCCTTGGGCTGCAAAAATTCTCAAACTCAATAAATACTTTCTCAAAGCACAAAGACCAGAGAGTGAAATAGCAGACTACTAATATTAGTGTAATATTGTATGTGAAAATTATACTGTTCACATTCCAACCTTGTCCATTGAGGCTTCTGAAGGCAGTGAGATAGAAACCAATTATTTCAGAGGTATCAGCTCATGGTTATGGCAATACAATTCAACAGAGAACAATAGCTCTCTGTTATAATCACAGAATATAAAACCTGATACTTTTCTAGCTTGTCTGGAAAGAAAAATAATTCTTTGCAGTGCTGTTATGAAGGCAAAAGAAACAGATTCAGAGGCCTATGCACAAGGACACTTTAAAACAAAGAACTGAAATTTGAAGAAAAGGCGACTTACTTCTCCAGGCAGGCCACCAATTTATCACAAGGTAGTATGTCCTTAGCCTTATCCCCTTCAGAAAGAGAACTTGCTCCTTTACTTTTCCAGTCTCTCTGCGGTCCTGCACATTTTGTGGAAGGGGATATTCCCACTCTGCTCTGCTAAACCCACAAGCCTCAGCTGGGCAGCCAAAAAGAACTAGAACTGCTGCTGAGAAAAGGCCTCACCCTCAGCAGTGACCTGGTTTACCTTGTTATCCCAGCAAACAACCTGTGTGAAGCTCAAATACCTTGCTTCCTCCTGTCCACCTGAGACTTATGCTGGATGAAACTGGAAAGCCAGAGACAGGATAGTCAGGACAGTAAGGAACATGACAAGGAAATGCTTCACAGGACAGCACAGGGCAAACATACAACACAAATCTGCAGAAAATATGCAGGATTAGTTCTGCCTGTTGTGGTAGAAAATCTTTAAATCCCCATGGATGAACTGAAGAAGAAAGCAGAAATACAGGAACTGTACAGCAGCTCAACAGATCTTTTACATGGGCTGAATTTACAAGGAGATTAGGTTGGGATCTCAATTTCATTTTGTAACTTCCTTAAGTATTCCTGAATATTTTAACTGTTTGAACAATGCCATTGGACTTATCAATTCCATATGGATTTCACAATACAATTGGTTTGTGCTGCATGTGGGATAAACATTTAGCTCACAGACGGAAGCACCTTTCAGCATATTAACATCCACTGTCCTCTGGACAAGCATCCCTCTGACTACAGCAAACTGGAGACTTTCCTTTCTTAAACCAATGCCGTTATAATGTTCTACTTAAGCCAATTAACATAAAATAAAGTTTGTGTCCCTAACAGCACTTCAGAACAGTGCTGCTCATAAAGACCAACAGATTTAACCCTGCAGGAACTATTTAACCAATACTTGATAGATGAACTCAGCCTATGTTCAGGCAGAGAGGATGTATGCAGTATTTCAACACCATGAGCTGTTTCAGTAATAACCACTGTGCTGCAGAGCAATGGTTAGAAAGAAAGTAATAGCTTTACTATTGGACAACAGAAAGAACTCCAATCTGTACTAGAACTACCTTTGGAAAAAAAAAATTCCAGTACCTTATGGTAATATCATCTTCCAGGAACATCCTGAAGGACCAGCAGTAGTAAATAAAGCTGTCTGCTACCACTATGTGCCCTTTTCAAAACCAAGACTGGAGGTAATTAGGTTATGTCCAAATTCATCAATATGATGAAGGTGACAAATAACAAAAAGATGAAGAAACTTCTGTTCAAGTGTGGAATAAAACACTACATGTCACACTTAATCCCATTCCCCATACTGCTATTCACTCAAATTGAAAAGGAGAAAACCGGAAAGTTTTAAATTAACTCTATAAAACATATATTCGACCTCTGAAAAAAATCAGTAATTAAAACACCTATTTTGTCCCACACCTAGAAAGTGTTTCCAGTTAAAAGGCAGAGATACTTACGAAGTAGTGGAGAAAATTAATGCACTTTGAGAGATTCCTGCATTCAGGCTTGCTCACCTGAATAACTACACAGTTCAAAAATAGTGAAAAAAGGATCATTTAACATTTTGTGCTGAAAAGGGTAACAAGAAGCAGATACAGAAAAAAAATTTAAAGTGGAAGAAAAAAAATGTTCAGAAAAGTGAAATTAAGTACTTCAACCAAATAAACTGGCTTTGGTGCAGTTTAAAATAGGACATTTCTGTATCTGAAAATTTTAACCTCTAGAGAAAATTAAAATGGAAACAAACTAATTATAATAGTGGCTGAAACCAAGTTGTTACAATGCAACTTCACTAAGATAATAGTGTTCCTGGTTTATGTGGCAGGTGGGAAAAGTTAATAAAAAAAAAAAAAAAAAAAAAAAAAAAAAAGAAAAAAAAAAGCCACAGGCAAATATGTAAGCAGCTTGTATGAACCCAGCAATATAAGCAGCAACTATTTCTGGTTACTCTCCAAAAATGGTTACTCTCCAAAAGAGTATTCCTCCCCAAAACTTCATATTGTTTTGCACAACAGAATTTAAAACTTTATAAGTAATTCATAGTAGTGAATTTTGTTTCTGAAACAATTCAGATTAATCTTGTGGGTGAAATTCTGCCACTCTGTTGTTAAGGCAAAGCAGATTGGAGAATCTAATTCCGTGTCCCTGCCTTACTTTTAGGGCAAGGTACACAACATAACTTCAAAATGTTGAGAATACTTCAGAAAGCCATTGTGGTCAGTTTGACTGGGCAGCATCCAATTTCTAATATTAGAACTGACTTAATGGAATGGAAATAGAGGAGAACAGAAAACGGAACAGAAATAGAGTACGATCATCTGTGAACGTGTCCACTTATGGTTTTCATACAAATTCTCCCAAATATTATTGTACCAGAGCAACCTCCAATTTCACAGCTTTAGGGCCCCAAATCTTCATGGGCAGGGCTGCAAGGTCACACTATCCCAAGCAGTCAGAGCCAACACCAGACTCTATTGTACACACAGTGACAACTTGATTTTTGAAATAAAAATTGCCAGGAGTAATTTCAGTCCACAAGCTTCATGCACACGTTTGAGGAGACTCTTACTCATTGTACTGGCTTCTTTTTGGTTTTTTCCAAGTCAAATTAGCTCTCAGAAGTTTTTTGCTTTAGCTTTTGATTATTCTCCAGTGCTTCATTTTTGCTCTGCTCTTCTGAATTCTTTGATGAATCAGGATTATACCTATACAAATACCCATATGGACGAAGATGATAAATCAAATATTCCAAATGATACATAGTCACAGAGTCAACATAGTGGAATGAAACTGCTAGATCGGAGCAGCATCCAGGACCCTGAAACACAAAACAAAGCAAAACAATCAGCAAGAATTGCAAAGCATGCCCTGGATTAAAGATCTGGGGAGAATTCAAAGAAATACTTCATTTAATGGTAAGAAATTCACTACTGTAAGTCATATGTATACTTCAAAAGTTAATGTTAGGCAAGCAAAATGTACCAGACATATCTGCCAAGGCATCTTTCCAAAATGAAGCTGACAAAATCTCTTGCTTCTGTGATCAAGCCAGTGAAAAAACTAGCTGCCCTCATTAACGTCAGAGGTTTTCTGCTTTTCTATACTTAATTTTTGATGCTTGTCTTTAAACAGCACCAAGAAGCAGCAAGCAGGTGTAAATGAGTAACATTTATATATGAAACAATAAATGCCTGTTACTTATGTCAGCATACAGATGGAATGTATAAGCAAAATGTGACTGTGCCTGCACCTGTTTGTGTTGACATATTATACAGTTTGGAGTATTGTCAGAATCTAACTTCCTACTGATAGAAAGTTGTTACAAGTAATTGCAGAATTTTGTTTTAAATGTCTTCATTTCATTGACATTATTAAGAGCTACAGAATCATTGTTAACACGTTTGTCACAACTTATATTTTGTAGCTCAAATTTGAGAACACTTTCCTGGAGCACAGTTTTGGGGTTTCTTTTTTCAGCAGCTTTGATCACAGAATTGCTAATATTTCAAATCCAACTGGAACTAAGATGAAATATTTAAAGACACTAAAGAGAACAATTGCTATTACCTGTCATTCTTTCAATACTTATGAAGTTTGATCAATATAGCTTGACTTTTTTACCAGATGAAGTAGTCTCTATCCAAGCACAGGCAACTTCTGTTCTGAATCATTTACAGATGGAACTGTCCACAGCTCAGCTGCCCATGCACTGCAGCCTTAGCTAGAGCTGCTGCCTCCTGACACACTAAATACAGTATCATACAGCTGGTTTAAGCTACAGAAATGCTTTAGCTGCTGAATACAAGTATAAAAATAGATTGCTGCTTTACAATGAAAAAAAAACTACTGAAGAACCAGACTCTTTTTCAGCTTTAATATGTAAAAAATTCCAAATTCTGTTTTTGAATTCTGTCACCTAATTCTAATTCACACATCACACGCTCACACACATCATAAGATGCACTTGACAAAATGGATACCAGGTTCCTCAGGACTTACCTCTACAGCAGGATAGTAATTGTAATTCCAGTACCAGAATGTTTTTGGTAGGTATCCTCTGATTAAGTGATGTTCTGGAACAAATGGATGAAAGGTTTCTCTACCACTTGTATCTCTAGAATCCCCTGCTTCCACATTGATGATCTCCATGCATTTTCCTAGTGCCAGATCTTCAACAGAGGAACTGTGAGTGCATTTGTTCGTTTTAAATGCAGCAACAAATCTCTTCAGAGCTTCTTTGCTCAGAACATACCCTGCTCCTCCACTCATGTAGCCCTGCTTCACATAAGGCTTAAACCTTCTTCCAAAGTAGATTGGTTGTTCAGGACTGTATTTTGAAAGAAGCCATCTCAAATTGTCCAGTATAACATATGTATCATCATCTGCTTTCATAAACCAATCAGCATCATCAAAATAATGGTCATATACATATTGAAAAGCTTTAATAGTCTTCCAGTAGAGTTGGTCCCTGCCTTCTTTGGTTTCTAGGCCCACAGCTGGGAAGTCTTTATTTTCCTCAGAGCTCATAAAAAGTACTTTATTACAGCGTTGGGCCCAAGTGGCCTTAACATGCTTGGCTTTCTTTTCTAGATTTTGAGGTCCAGTCATTACCCAACACAGTATTTTCACCTTGTGATACAGTCCTTCTGCAATATTTTTATCCTCATCTAAAAAAAGAGGAAAGTTGTAAAACCATATTAGACATGATTGCCAAACAAACTAATAGCAACCTCCCCCCTCCTCAGATACTATTTCTAGATAGAAAAGACATGCAGACAGAAAAGAGGCTTTTGCTTCCAAATGTACCAGTCAATGAAGACCATGATAGATTCTGGAAGGAAATAAGCAAGACTCACTCTCACTCTCAAAGATTAAAATTCTTAAAGCTGTTTCAATTTCACAAGATAAAGGAGAGTGTAAGAGTCATATCAAAAGGGGTGTCTGTTAATGAAAGTGTGGCTTTAGCAAACCTTGATTTCTACATAAAAACTGCTTAGAGGCAACATCTTTATGGTCTTGGAAGACTAATGAAAATTTTAAAACAGAGTAATTTTGCCATTCACAATGAATACAACTTAATTATTACAACACAGAAAGGTCAAAAAGCTAATAAGCTCTTTTATTCATGTTAACAAAGCCTAATGAATATTTCTAAACAAGCAAAATATGTTTTAAGAATAAAGCAAATGGTAAACCAGAAATAATGTATCAGATTACATAATTTAGGATACTATGAAACTACTGTTACTGTTGATAACATGTTTTTATTTGCACCAATCCAGCAAAATAAAAACAGTTATCAGAGGTGTGAAACAATGTTTTTCAAAGCATTACTTGCTCTCAAAGAAACATTTTCACTTGATACATACAGAAAGATTTTAACTCATGTAAAAGAATATTTCATTGCCAGTGAAATCTGCATAACTGATACTAAAATATTCCTGCTTACACTTTATGCAACTATAGATCAGATTTCTCTCTAACAAAGTTCTACAACTAAATGTGAAACACTCACACACTCATTTTACAACGTTTGGAGTTTAAATATGTCTAAAAAACAAGTTACTTACTAACATCTTCAACAAATGCATTGCACTGCAATTTTTCTCATCCAAGCTGTGCCTACTCAAACAATTCTCTGTATTTGGTATTTAGAATGAACTCATTTAATGAAATATATAAAATGAAAAAGCATTTCTGAAGTATTGGATGGGTCTGCCTTCTCTGGAAAAATAACCAGAGTGCAAAAGAATTTCTCTGGTTTTGACTACAAACAGCAATCTGTGTCTGGACTGCTGTGTAATCAGCTTAGCAAATCATGCCCACAGTGACTCCCTTTGCACCCCTGCTTCAATTCTGTGTTTTACTAATCATACCAAGAAGCAATTAAAAAAAATATATTTTAGCTTTATCTTAGAGGCTAGATCAAAAGTTAGAAGTGGTCAAAAATTAGCTTCTTAAGATAAAAAGCAACCCAGCCACATCTACAATGCTAGCAAAGATATCTGCTTAGCAAAACTACCATTTGGTGTCAATAGCTCATTTGAGAAGTTAATGCTCCAGACATGTCTGGATACAGAAGCTGGACAAACAGGTGGACTCTAAGGAAAAAAAAAAATACTACTGTAATAAAAATGTAAACAAAGAAAACCACCATTCAGTAGACCTCAGGAGAAAAAAGTTATTTAGATGTAACCTGAACATGAGGAAACTTCGCAGTGAAGAAGCAATGTTTTGCAATGCATGAAAGGAGAGGACATTTGCTAATCAGCCAGGTGTAACAAAATACCTTTATGCTGTCCAACATCTGCATTGAAATCCATTTGTCCTTGCAGCTGATTGTTGTCAGTATCTGCAGAGTGTTGCCCATGTGGATCATTGTGAAGAACATGAGGCTGGATCTGAACCTGTTCTTCTAGGATAATGTTAAACAGAAGATAGCAGACAAAAAATCCTATTGCTGAGCCAAAAGTGAAGGTTAGAAAGTTCACCAAAGATTTAGAAGAGGCCATCTCCTGAAGGTGAGACACTGTCAAAACCAAATGAAAAATACATTAGACTTAACATAGAAATCAAATCTAAAACTATAGGAAGAAATCGAGGACTAAATCTCTGAAAGCAAAGAACTCAGTCCTAGCTCAGTTTCAGCTCCCTCGGGCTTGCACAGAAATTTAAGTGCAAGAGCAATGCAAATATCAGCATGAAATTGTATATCCATTGATAGTGGCTGCACAGAAAATACCTATTAATCACATTTATACAACATTTAAACAAGAATGTATACACTGAAGTGCAACCTAAATCTTTTATGAAGCTAAAAGATGACGATCAATGGCAATCTACAGGTCAAGATACAATATGGTCACAAGATATTCTTAAAACTCCAGCCAAATGTATATTACAAAAATTCTTAACATATGTCAATCACAAGCAGATTTTGAAGAGTTATAAAAGCATATCTACTCCCAAAATAGGGCAGTTGTCCTTACACTTTTAGGAATTATTACCAACTTTGAGAAAAAAAGAGTAAGACAACATCTGAATTTTCATCCAGAAACACTAATTTTTCAAAGGAAGAGAAGAAGAAAGCACATCAGCCTTGAAGCCTCATCTACACTTCTAAAACTGTATTGCAGTAATAAAAAAACCACTTTGTATCAGCCACACCCTTGCTCCTCAAAAACTACAGGACTTGGCTAACCATTTTTATTAAACCAAATCAGCAGCTATGCCTGCATAAAGGGAGTTCTATGCATCAAAAATTAGTGTAAATTTCAACATATTAAACACTTGAAAACCAGTTTCAAGTTTTTGAGGGTTTTTGATCTTTGGAAAGAGTTGAGCTAATTTCTCATACCTCATGACTAAACTACAAAAACATTGACTGTTAAATACACACTGAATTCAAGCCAAAGCCTTACAAACAAGTCAATGATGTTCCCTCCATTAGGATCATTATTAATGACTGTGAGCAGAACCCAATTTAGTTCATGAGAGAGCCCAAAAAAGAAAACTATGGACTGCACAGAGCATCGATGAAAATCATTGATCAGAGAAGAGCTGCAGCAGCACAACAACTCATTTAGCCTGCACTCCGTCCTCTCCCGGCCCGGGCAGTGTATTGGAAACAGCGTGTCCCAAGCAAGCTGTATGAATCACTGTGCAGCAACACACTCCAAATTCTAACTTTCTGTCTGTTCCTCTGCTCTCCTGAAGGGAGAGCAAAGGATGGAACATGTGTGTGCATGCTGTTAGATTGGCACTTTCAGAAATCCATCAGATTTACTGTATGCATGCAGATCGAGAACATTTGGGAGTGAAGCAGCTCTCACGTGTGGTACTGCTTTTCTTTCCACACTGCTAGAAAAAGGAAGGAAAATTGAAAACACAAATCAAAGCACAAAATAAAAATCAAGAAATGTACAGGATGCATATAAGGGTGTATATACACATATACATATATTCAAAAATTATTATAACTGTGGTTGATGAGGAGCTGTAGTTCTTTAATATGAACAAGCACATTAAGCAATTTTTTCAATTGCACATTGACTTTCCTAAATTCAGTACTACATCTTGGTAGAGACAAGTGATTGCCTTTAGAAATTACATCACAAAATAAAAAACTTACTGTATAATCATTTGTGACCCAGGCCTTGAAAAAATTACTTGGTTTACAGGTTTATTTCTATTGTCTTTTACACCACTAAATTGAGAAGAAAACGTGAGTATTTTGATAAGATACCCAAAAAAAGGCAAAAGTCCCAAAACCTTTACCAAAAAGCCATGCATACAAGCAACCTATGACAATACAAAGGATCTGCTGTACTAAGATTATTTTTTTGGTTTTGCTTTCCTCACTTATCACCACAAAGTCCCCTCAAAATTTGCAATACACACAAGGAGATGGCCAAAATAAAACAATGCCTCCTTTTGTTATACTCAAAGTGGGGAAATATACAAACCCATGCATGCCTACAGGGTACCTCCACCACCTTCTAGAAAAAAAGGTTTCCACTGTTCTACTTTTCAATATTAGGTGTCTCTCTGCCATAGAATTTTAGTTATCTGCTCCAACAGCTGTTAAAATTACTCCTGCTAGGAGAGAAAAAAAAAATGAAAATAACTTGAAAATAATTGCTGCTCATTTAAGTATGAAATTATGTACAACTGAATTCTACAGAAAAAAAATTGTATGTGCAGAAAAATGAAAAAAGTGCACCCATCACATTGGAAATCAGAAGCTGATCTGGCAGTACTTCACACACAAATAGGATTTCTCAGGGCAGGTAGTAGCTGTACTTCATATTTTATACAAAATGCCCTCTAGTTACAGTTTTCAATCTAAAAGAATCTGCTTATCATTCTATCAATTTTATACCAACAGAATGGGTTACTATAAACATGTGTGGGTGTATATGCACATGTTTATAAACTCCAATAGTAAACAGGAGAAAAATTTTTAATTTTTATGGTATCTTGATATTTCACATAAATTGAGTCTTTTAACTTGACAGCAAAAATAACTAAACACTACAGCATTACAGTAGAAGAATCAGAAAATGCCTAAAAGGAAGGTCAGTTGTCAGATGATAAACATCCCCACTCCTTGCAGACATTCTCTTCTACACACAGATTTAGTCAGGGGGAAGACACGCAAAACAATTAAGGCCAGGTTGGATGAGGCTTTGAGCAACCTGATCTAATGAGAGATGTCCCTGCTCATGGCAAGGGGTTGCACTTTAAAAGGGGTTGGATGATTCCCCTTCTCCCAGCTCAAACCATTTTGTGATCCTTCGAGTCTATGACATTCAGAGAAGGAAACATCTATTTTTACTTCTTGAGTTAAAAAATACACTATGTTAAAAAACACCTACAATAAAAGGCTAGGTTCGAATTTAATTTATGCTCCACTGCTCTATCATGGAAGCTTAAATAAATACAGATACTTAAGATATTCATGCAGGTAGCCCTGTTCACATCAATCAAAACAACAAATATTTTCAAACTCTATCACAATGTAACAGTCATTTAAGATTTGGTTTCATGAGTCAACAATTTCTACATTCTCAAGCTTATAGAAAAACTATTTTTCCTGTGTTAGGGGCTGCTGAACCTGGCAGCACACTGACAACAAGGCTGCTGAAACTCCATGTGCCCAGATCCAGCCAGGCTTAGGCTGTATTCCCATAGCTGTGCATGCAAAGATGCATATGCACATGGCTGACCACAGAGATCAGCACAGATAAAAACAAGTGTTCATGCAGACACAAACATGGCCTGGCCTTATGCTGCTCCTCCCCATAGCTGCCCAGGACAAAGGCCTGCTACTGGGGAATATACACATACACACAACCTACCCAGCAACCAAGCCTGAATCCTCAGACTCCCCAGAGCCCTGCTCCTTGTCAAGCTGCCGACCCTCTCATCTCACTAGTACCTGTCCCACACTTACAGCTGCCTCAAAGCCCGGCTCCCAAGCCTCTTAATCCTACTCACTGGCTAGCCCGGTGTGATACTCACGAGCAATCACACGCTGGCATCCTTGCCAAGACTGCACCCACACACTCCACTCTCCCCAGTGACGGGCACTGCGGACACACCAGCCTCTGGCTCACAGTCCCCGCTCCGGCTGCTGGGCATTTAGGACTCACTCCAGTCCCTCCAGCTGCTGGCACACCAGACACAGAGGTCCCTAGAACTTACTGTGCTTCTCCAGTTGCTGGCACTTAGAGCTCAGTATGCACACAAGTGAGTCCTGTCACCCAGCAAAATAGCTAGAAAGGCACCTTAATGAGGAAAGAGGACAGAATCTGGCAATCTGGCCTAGGACACAGACAAACAGACTGACCAGCCACTTGTTTCTAACTGAGCAGGCTCTTTTGTTTTCCCATACTTCCTCCTCAAACCACCTTCCTTTAGTCCCTCCCAGGAGCACCCCATAATTTTGTGCAGTCACAAGATGCTTTTCTCTTGCGTCCCATGTGACCCATATTTTCTAGGCAGTTAGCCCCCCCGATCTTGTGAGCTGTTCCAGCCAGCCCTCCTGGGAGCTCTTGCTGCATGTCACACCCGGGCAATGGGGCTGGTGGCTCCCCAGTGACAGAACCGGGGGCTGACTCCTCTGGTGAGACCGTGCCTCTGTTCATCCTGCTAGTGAGCCTTCAAACATGTTAATCTAAATTACTGCTCTCACCCTGCTGTTCCACAAGCCAATGGAAATTTAAGGATAAACCATGCAATATGAAAACATGAATAAATGGCAAGAGCTTGGCCCCACCACCAAAAGAAAACAACACTTTTAAAATTAATACTTTCACACAAACTCAGACGAACATGTACAGAAACACATTAACCAAAATACCAAACAAGCAAGCAGAAATACCCCAACCCCAAAACAACATAACAACAAACCCCCCCCAAAAAAAAACCACCTCTGTAACCATCAAATCTGGGATTTTGAAATTTACAGAATGCAGAACATAAGTCTAATTTTAAACATGTTTATCCCACTACCATTCCATAATCCCTTTAAGATTCGATTAAGTTAAACCTATATACAGGGCTGATTCTTTCTTGTATCCCTTACTTAGGAATCAAGGGGGAATCTCTGAGGCCCCATGATGAAACAACTTAAACGTCCTTTGAGAGCTGCATAATTAGTAATGAAATTGATCTCTACCACCACGTCCTTACCAGTCAAGCAACACATCAGAATAATTCGACCAAAATGTAGAAAAAAACATCATTAGCTGTGCAAACACGCTTTCTGCTCCTTAAATCACATATACTGCTAGCTACTCTGTATATTCATATGCTTATGAAATGCTGCTAAATGCACAAGTTGTGCATTTGCTAATGTCTGCATCGAGAATTTCTGTGATGCTCTACAGTTTCCTATCGACTAAGCACAGATCGTATCTTTCCACTTCATATATCTAATGCTATAAGCATTTCTTTCAAAATAATTCCTGTCTGTTCTACCAGAAAATACAAACCATCAGAGTAAGCTACTTCGGCATAGGAGGCCAACAACTGCACTGAAACGAGACGTGTAACAATCCACAGTACCGGTGAGCTGGAAGAAGATTTGGCTTCTCCTTCCTCATTCCAAAAGCTGACGCCGTCCTTCGGCAACAAGTGCCGAGGCCGAAGCCCGGCTCCGCAGGGCTCTCCCAGCGCAGCTCGCTACCGAGCGTCCGCCCAGGAAGTCCCGCTGAGGGCGGGAGCAGCGGGGGCACCTTGCTCCCTCCGCCGGGCTCCCAGGGACTCGCGCTTTTCCAAGGATGCCCCTGCTCCGGCGCCGCTCCTTCCCGGGCGTGCAGCCGCGGGCGCCCTTCTCGCCGCCGGGGTGACGCGGAGCGCCCCGGCCGCCTCTTCCCGCCCGGTTCCCGCGGAGAGGAGGCACCCTCGGCGCCTTCTTCCGCGTCGCCCCCGCGGTTGGGACGCTGCCCCCCGAGGCCCGACCCCGCCGCCCCCGGTCCCCCCCTCACCTCTCGGGCCGGCGGGGCCCCGGCGCGCGCTCAGCCGCGCGACAGCGCGCGGGCACCCGCTGGCCGCGCGCCGGGCAGGCCCCGGCCCCCGCCGCCCCGCGCCGCCGCCGGCCCCATCGCGCGGCCGCCCCGCGCCGCGCCGCGCGCCGCCCCGGGGCGGGAGCGGGGGCGGAAGCGGCGCCGCCCCGCCGCGCGCTCATTGGCCGGCGAGCGGGCCGGGGGCGGGGCTCTCGCGGCACGCGCCGCTTTAACCCCGCTCCCGCCGCGGCCGAGGCTCCGCCGCGTGGCAGCGCGCGCCCGCCCGCCGCGCTCCTGGTGCGGGAGCGGCGCGGCCCCGGGAACCCGCCCCTCCCTCCCAACCCACCCGCGGGGAGCCGGGCCGGGCCGCCGGCAGCCCGCGCCGCCCGGCGGTGGGCGAGGGCCGCCGCCCCAGGCCGAAGCCGCAGCGCGAGAGCGGTGCCCGGCCCGTCCGCAGCACGCGGTGGCTCGTCCCGGACATGGAGGGTGCGGGGAACAAATGTCCCGGGGGGAAGGGGAGGGCGCGGCAGGGACTGAGGAGCGCGAAGCGGCCGCTCCCCGGTGCTCCCCGCAGTGGTGAGCGGCGCGGCGCCCCGGCAGTGGCTGCGCGGGCACGGCCAGCGGGGAAATGCCCGGGCAGCGCTGTCCGCCCGCCCGGACCCGCGTTACCTCGCTCTCGCCTCCCTGGTCCTGCCGGGAAGCGGCAGTGCCGGGCGCTCAGGCCGGGCTGCGGAGCTCCGCTGCGCTCCAGCCCCTCATTTCCCTCACTTCGCCTGCCTGGAGCCGCTGCTCTTCCAAAATACCATTAGGCAACTGCAAGGGAGGTTGCTAGGATACCGAGCCCTCTGCAATCGCTTCTTACCTCCCTGTGCTAACGCTGGCTACCTTTCCAACAGCTCTTGACTTTTATCTGTCGGTGGTTTTCTTAGGAAAAAAACATTAAATAGTAGGAATTTTAGATTTGGAAGGTGGTTTTCATTACAGTGTAACTGAAAAAATAGCATTTTGCAAGCACTGGGTAGATAATGGCACTCTGCAGTAAATAGATATAAGGTTTGTGTTGTGGTTTTTTTTGGGGGGGGGGTTGTGTGTGTGTGTGTTGTTTTTTTTAAATACTGGGTGCAGGTATGTGCAGAGAAGGACTGATCCATGCTGAGAGCCATTAGTGTTTCTGTAGATGGAAGCCACTGCACACACTGTTCTTGGTTTTCCTGTTCCATCCTTCCACCAGCCTGTCCATAGGTTCAGTCCAAACCATAGGTTTCCCTCATCATAGCTGTAGATCTGTGTATTTTCCTTCTGTCTCCTCAAAACAATTATCACCTCAGGGGTGTGCCCTTTCATCTCCATTTTCATGTCTATTTTTACTACTTTTTCTCTGGACAATGGGTCACACAGAACCACAGAACCATGTAGGCTGGAAAAGACCTCCAAGATCACTGAGTCTGACCTATGACCAAACACTACCTTGCCAACTAGACTGTGGCACTAAGTGCCACATCCAGTTATTTCTTGAATGCCTCCAGGGACAGTGACTCCATACCTCCCTGGGCAGTCCATTCCAATGTTTAACAACCTTTTCAATGAAGAAATTCTTCATGAAGCCAAATCTGAACCTCCCCATTCAGGCAGCTTTGGGGGTGATAAGGTCTCCCCCTACCCCTTTTTTTTTTCTCCAGGCTAAACACCCTCAGCTCCCTCTGCTGCTCCTCATATGATTTATTCTCCAGACTGTTCAGCAGCGCCATTGCTCTTTTCTGGACATGCTCCAGTATCTCAGTGTCTTTCCTGAAATGAGGGACCCACAGCTGGACCCAGCACTTGAAGTGTGGCCTTGAGTCATTTAGGAGATGCTGAATGTACCAAATTTAGGAAGCTCCCACATTACTCTGAGTCATAGTTTCACGTTCCTGCCCCATCCCACTCTGCTACCCCCTTTAAATAAAAATTACAAGCAAACTTGGTGAATAGTATCTTCTTGATCTAGTTTCATGAGAAGAAAGGGAAGGCTTCTTGTAGGGCAGAATTTGATTGGCTTTAAGAAAATCAATTATAAACAATAACAAAGACAATGGCAATTGCGAAGGCTGTAAAACAAACAAGTATGTATCTATCTTCTTGCTTCCCGTTTTTTCCACCCCTACCAAATTTGGATAGAATCACTGTTCATCCCATGTTCAATGCATGCTTTAAATTCCAGAAATAGATTAAGCAAAGTTTTCAAACTGTTTTATATTCCAGATAATTCAGCATGTCTGAGTTGAATACAAGACTTCTATTTTGCCTGGTGAACTTTAAACCCTGGTCTTGCATCACAAGAGTTGTTCTGTCAAGGACTATCAAGGACTGTGGCCCATAAATTTATGCAAAAGGGCTACACTTTTTTCATACTGACATGTTCATTGAGCTGTTTCACTCTGTTAGGCTAGTTTGAAAAGGAAATTTCAGAGAGAGGGTAGAATATGCTGTAACTTAACAAAAGCCACATCTTGCCCATTAATAGTGGTACATATTAAATAGTTTGTTTTAACAAATGTGACAGTTTTGGCCATGTTGTAATGGCTGTTTATTACTTTATGGAGATATTTACATACCACATACATAAGCAGGTTTTCTTGGTTGATTTTTTTCACTCAGGGAGAGATGAGCAGTCTCTCTTACAGCTCTCTAGTGGCAATCTCTTTCAGTTTGGGGTAAGGAAACAGGCCCCTCCAAGGGACTGCCTCGCATGTGTAATGGTAGCAAACACTTCCACAGCTTCTCTGCAGCACTGCTTTGCTCAACACACTGCCTCTGGGTGGATGGTCAAGGGAAAAGCTGTTCTCTTGTTCTGAGGCAGAAGGGAGAGCAGCCTGGTGCTCTGTCTTGCTTCCATGACATGCACATCTACGTGACCACAGTCCCTTTCTATACAAATGTACCACTGCTATGGGAGAGTCTCCTCAGCTGCTGAGAAAGCCCAGCAGTGTTGGGGGACACAGTCATATCACAGTAATATGGCAAGGAGATTCACACCACTTACCTTCTGGCACATGTGGCTAGGAGCAAATGAAAGGAAAATTAAATTTCTAGTATTTAAATTTTAAAACTAATCAATCCCTTTGGTCTTCACATCAGTAAACACAAAGAATGAGACCTTCTCCTACCTAGGAGGGCCAGCCATATTCAACATAAAGACTGTTTTGAGCAGGGCAAAAGCAGAGTAGCAGGCCCTTAGTCCCTCTGCACATCACTAGGGAGGTCTCTGTGACATAATTGGGCATTTCAGTGTTTACACCCTCTGGAAGGCACTCTGGAGTACAAACCTTCTATAAAAGCCCACTCAAAGATCAGCTACTGCATTCAACTACCCCCATTTCTGTGCAGGGGAGTCTGGAAACAGGTTTTTAGATAGGAAAGCTCACACAAAAATAAGGCAGAAGGCAAAATGCAACAGCTGCTGTGAGGCTCTGCAGTTTGGCGAGTCACTGACTACAGACATATAATTTAAATATGTCTCAAGTTTATCTGGATGTGTATTCAATTACCATCTATTAAAAGTAGGGTAGTTATCCTCTGTTAATTGGGCAGTTAACTTTATCTCTTCCACAACCAATCCTCCTTCCAGGGAGATACCTTCTATTAATGGGTCATTGAGTGTCACTGCATGACTGATAAAAATCACATCATCCCATTATGAGATACTCTGCCCAGAGAGAACCTCCTACCTAGATATAATCTGAGAATTAGAACAACAGAAACAGCCTTTTCTACTGGATTCCCAGAGGAACAGTCTTTCCCCACTAAATTCCAAGAAGAGCAGCTGTCTTCTCCACTGAATTCCCAGAGGAAGACCAGGCCCATCTACAGCACCACTCGACCTTCAGGAGAAAACTACACCCTTCTACAGGATCACTGCTTCAACAGAACCACATCTGTCACTCCAGGAGGACTGCAGCCACCATTCAACTGGACTGCTACCAACACCCTGACCCACAGGGTGTCAAGTCGTATTCTGACTCTGTCAGTGGTTTTGTTTGTACTGTTGCATTTGTATTTTTAAATTTTCCTAGTAAAGAACTGTTATTCCTATTCCCATATCTCTACCTAAGAACCTCTTAATTTCAAAAATTATAATAATTAAAAGGGAAGGGGGTTTACATTTTCCATTTCAAGGAAGGCTCCTACCTTCCTTAGCAAACACTTGTCTTTTCAAACCAAAACAATATGTAATTGGTATCTAATAAATCTGTGATGAAACTGATTGCCTTCTGTAGAAAGCTTTCTACAAGCCAGTGGTTGTTAAGGAATAATGTTTTCTTAACATTTTGTTTAATTTTAAATAGTCTTATATTGAGACCATTTATTGTTTTTACAGGTCATTAGCAAGACCATGAAAATATGTATTTTATAAGTAACTTCCATGCATTTTGACTGAAAGCTACTTTGTGTTTTCTTTTCACTCTTATTTGATCAGACAGCCAGATTAAATTTAATGCCTTACTTGTTTAATATTATTTATAAAAGATCTCACTAACTTTACTATTCAGATTTAGTAAGGCCATTATTCTCTAAGAAACCTATTATCCATTCTGTGCCCACTTATGAGCCCACACATTGTAGTTGCAGGCACACTGGACCAGATCAAGTTTGAGAATTACACATACCAACCCGAATTCCTTGAACAGAAGAAAGGCCTTTAGAAAAGTGAATGGAGTTTCAATTTACCACCACACCTTTACCCACCT